GCTATTACACTGTCAAAATGGCTGAAGGTGTCAACTGATGTCACTGCAGTGACACTAACTGGGAGGTCCAAGGGTTCGAGTCTCGATGGGGAAGGACTTTCGGCAGTAGCTAGATAGCTAGCTGCTGTCTGGAGAATTCTAGCGGCCGGCTGCTCTGATCTCTTTTCCGTGGTTTCTCCGATCAACACCAGGCGAATGCCGGAGTGGTACCTAACATACGGGCCAAGGATCACGCGTGATCTTTCCTTCCTCTTTGTCCTATCCTCACTTCATACACACACTTACACTGTCATGCACTATATTACATCACTTGTCGGACATCCAGTCGGAAGCTAGAACACGTCCCGGCTGGGGCGGTGAATCGATGGTAGAAGATACCTGGTTGGGAAAAATCTCCGCAAGCGGATGTAGTCGGCGCTGGATCTCGCCATCCAGTGTGGGAAGATCACCGTAACTACAGCGATAAGACATGCACTACACTAACGGAACAATGATTTAAGAAATTACGCGCCCGGAATCGCTAATAAATCCATCGAAATTAGATCTTTAAATAATCCTATTCACCAATTGTTGTTAATTTAAGCAGTGTTTTTCTTTAATTTTTAGTGATTATGCCATTAAAAAATCGAAAATAAGAGTTTACAAAAACGGCTTCATTTGTTGTTCAAATAGAGCACTGATTCCTTAATAATATGGCAGATGCCATAGTTTTTATTACACGCTCTCGACTTTCGAAAATCGTATAAGTTCAAATTGTTTTCGAATCTGTCATCATCAATATTAGACCTTTCAATTATTTTCTATTCCCATTTTTTGAAAACATTAGTGGTTTTCACGTTATTTTAGATTTAGTTTAGATTTATTAATAGTTCTGCAATTAAGTTTGAGAACTTGGTGGCAGAATATACTAACTTAACATTACAGAACTTAACAACTTTACAAAATCTACAAACTTTACAAATTAACGTGAACATTTCTTTCATAGCACTCCACTTCTCCACACTTCACTTCACCGCACTGCGAAACACCGAACTGTAACGTCTTTCTTACACACTCGTTTCCCTCAGTTGCACAACGCCACTGCACTGCACATAATTAATAATAATAATAATAATAATAATAATAATAATAATACTTAATTACATAGAAGTCATAGTTACTTACACTGAATACTATTAAATATATTTATAACACACATATCAACATTCAGGAAATTAATTTATTTTTAAATTTGCTCAGGCTTAGAGGAAAGGGATCGAAGATAGTCACAGGCAAACCGTTCCAGTTTCTAATAGTTCAATTTGCGAATGAATATTTCCCAACGACCGTTTTCTGAATTCTTGTCTGAATTTTGTGCATGTGCCGAAATATGTAGGTTTCCCTAATCGACTTTGAATTTCTTTCCACACTCGAAGGCCAGTGTACGCTTTATACTTTGCATGGAGACGTGATTTTATTCTCCTCCTTTCGAGTGACTCCCATACCCCTTTATTTTTGGTATTCCTGAAAGTAAATTTTGATGCTCTACGCTGGACCTTTTCTAGATTCCTTTGCTGCAAAATTCTGTATAGGTCCCAACATACCGCGCCATACTCTAATACGGGTCGCACTAATGACATATATGCTAATTCTTTGGCTCTCACTGTACTCTTTTTCAGTATCCGCATAAAAAATGTAAAGATTTCCTGGCTTTCCCTACAACGAAATTGACTTGATTTTCCCAGCTCAATTTACTGTCTAGCTGTATTCCTAAGTAATTTTGAGTTATATGGTAACGTAGTTCCAATTTCAGTCGACATTGAAGCTAGTTATTCCTTTTTATTCCAAGATACTTCTCACTGTTAAGTCTTTAAACCACTTCATGCACATTTACTAAAATAACATTAGACGTTTTCGTGTGATTTTCCGGTACTATATTGTTTGCGTTTTTCTAGTGATGACTGAAGTTTTAGGAGAGGAGGTGCAATACTACGTATGCGCTGCTAGTAATACGAAAAAGTATGCGCAGTTGAAAAAGTCAAATTACCAGATATGTTCACTCCTGTATTATAGAAACTATTTTGCAGATGAATACGAGCTACAGATTTTATACAATTATCCTACCGTTGAAATAACCTCCACTCCTCTTGCATGTAGTGAATTTAGGGCAAAAAAAGTGAATGTAAATTAGCACCACTAGTACCAATTGTATATTCCTTAATGTAATTTCTTGGCTCTCCTCTTCTTTTTCCTCTTCTGCACCCGCACCACTTGTCTTCCTTCAAATGTTTCAACTTCCTCTGAGTATTCTCTTTCGCCACTACTTCTTATGTTATCCAATTGCATCATATTAACCAAACTAACGGCTCATAAACCAAAACATAATAGGGACGGATTTACTGTTCACGAATTTTAATTGCTCGCATATATTTCAAAATAGTGAGAATATTCAATTAAGTCACAAATTGGTAAAAGAATTAATATGTGTTTGTTTCAAATACTTTGTTTACACGAAGTCAAGTTCCTTTGTTTCGTACATAAGGTCGTGGTTGCGAAGTTTAATATCTATATTTTTTTCAGTGAACATTTAATTACTCTGTTTTTATTTTCCCTTATACGAAGTAATATACGTAGTAAGTGTACGTAAAATATATAGTACTAATATAGGCAATATACGTAAAGTAAGGCATTACTTCAATTCCTTCAATTCAATAGTATAGGGCAAGTTATGTAATGCTGCGGAAAACTGATTTCGAGATTTCAACGGAAATACCAAGTTTGGGATCCCCTGATACCGAAAAAGTGTTTTTTTTTTCAAAACGTCCGTTTGTTTGTCTGTGATCACCAGTAGCGCCTAAACCGTACGTACGATTTCTGGAGCTGCGATTTTGAAAAAATTTCTTGAAAGTTTGGGGATGGGGCATGTAGTTCTCCGGACATTTTCATTTTTTTTCGGTCCCAATTTTTTTTCTTTAAATTTCTGGTAAAAAGAGTATTAAGGTGGCATAGGTCAGATTTTCAGATTTAACTCTAAATTTTCGAAAACGTTAAAAATTTTCGGCCGTTTTCCTACAACTACAAAATTAAAGATATTTTTCCTTCAAATGAAATTTGTTCTCCATTGTGTACTCTTTCATTAAGGTCTTGTACATTTTTTTGAAAATGTTAGAAGTTTTGGCGCAATATCGTGTGCAATATGTGCACTTTATAAAATAACAAAAACAAGATTTTCTCAAAAACGATTCCAACTTTTTGCACATTTTTTTGAAACGTTTAGCAAGTTTCTTGCAACATTGGATGCAACATTTGCTTGCAACATTGGATGCATTTTTTTTAAAAATAATACAGAAACCAATGTTTTCTAAATAAACGGCTCCATTTTTTCCCTGAAAATTTTGGTAAGGATAGTGCCAAATGCATTCTGTAAAACAACATAAGTGCCATATGGCTCTATTCTTTTCTTGTTGTTTTTCAAAAATTTTTTAAAATGTAATTTTTTACCTGTCTCTCACGTCATTAATATTTACATTAGCTGCAATTTGTTGACAATATTGTATTTATGAGTGCATGTAATTTAAATAATGACATATGTTTCTCGAAAACTCTCTAGTTTTCTGTTACAAAGAGCCAAAATTCCGCCTTTTCAGAATCGCTCAAACGCCATTTTCTCTAAATTACACTTTGTTGCGGAGAGAGATGACTAAAGGCATCAACTAATGTCACTGCAGTCCCTCTGACCGAGAGGTCCTAGGCTCGAGACCCGGCGGTGGCAGGATTTGCGACACTAGCTTGTCAGCTAGGTCGAATTCAGTCATTGAGTTTGCTCATTGAGGTTGCTCTGATTGGTAGTTTTTCGTGGTTTCTCCGATCAACACCAGGCGAATGCCAGAGCAGTACCCTACCAAACGGGCCATGGACTGCTCGCGACTCTCCCCTTACACACACCCACACTTACATGCACTACACAAGCACACATGCCGGGAGACCGGTCGGGAGCTTAGAGCTTGTCCCGACTGGGGCGGTGCCGGTTGGTAGGAGATACCTGGTTGAGTAAACACCGCTAGTCGACGGTAGGTGCGCGCTGGATCTCGCCATTCAGCGAGGGAAAGATCAGCACCACCTCCCGAGAGAGAAAAACATGCACTACACGTACGGGACTAACGACCCTGGTAGTTGATGTGCCCGGAGTCCTAAACAATAATTAATCAAAATTACATACAAGTACATAATTCTATTTGTGAGTGGAAGTGTTTCAAATGACTTCCAATCAAGTTTTTCTAAAACTCAAAAAACGTATGTGAAAAAGTACTCCAAATTTCTCATTTACAATAACGCAGACCAGACCGAAGAAATAAGAAAAAAATGTGAGATAGTGCCATTCCGTAGCACTAGTAATATTTTTGGTTAGCGAATTGCGGAGCCTACTAATCTACGAAGACCTACTAATCTTCATCCTTTTCTCTGAATTGGTTTATTACTGTTTAATACTTTTAACCAATTATTACTTTTTACTTACAATTTTATTAATTTTTAAGGTTTCGTAATATCCCTCTCTTTCTCTCTCATGCTGTTCGTTTTCTTTTCACCAGCCTCCTTCCTCGCTTTTGTTTTTGCTTTTGTTTTAAACTTGTATTTTTACTTACACTTCCTTCCTTGGTTGACCGTCGTCGTCCCTTTCCATCATTTGTATTTTCTTCCTTTTTGTTTCATTTCCTTTGTGTTTTGAACTTCCTTTCCAATGGGATCATGGCAGTTGATTCGCGAGTAGAATTGTTTATCTATATTATTCTTTCCACGGAAACTCTTTTGCTTGCTTCCTGCATTTTTTATTAAGATGGCACTCTTCCTTTGTTGCGGAGCAGGTGCGTAGGCTGGCGAGAACTCTAGCGACGTTTCAGTGAACTAACAGAAGTGTCGGTAGCAACTCTTGCGGCAGGTTTTATTACCACCGCATACGTCAGCTTATAAATTGAACCGTTGTCTTAAAGCAGGTTTAGTGTGGCGAGTGTGAGGTTGTGAGGCGTTGTGCGGCCGAGTGCGTGTGTGTGGAATGTCTTGTAGTTCTAATTCAATGCGTGCAATGAGGTTTTTCAGTCAATTGTATTTCCTGAAATGACTTGGTTGAATCATAACGCACAAGTTATGACAATTCAAAGTTGTCAAACGTGAAGCGGACGTAGTGATGGATCTTAACAGTACTATGGAGGGTCCGTCACCCGGTGAACAGGAACATGCGTGTCGGGAAACAGGCATTTTAGCGAACGAAGATTGGAGAGTTGACAAAAAATCATCTAAGAAAGATTCTATGGACTCTGGTGTTGCTGGTCTTCGAGATCAGCATTTGAATAGCAATAACAAAAGTTGCAGCGGTTGTACCGATACGGATTCCTCAGAAATAGAAGTGTCGTCTGGAAAGACAACATACTTGAAAGGCAAATTTCTTGGCAAGGTATGTTACTATTGGCATGTAACATTTGTTTCCAGATATTGAATGTTATTATGCTATGTTTCATTTCAATTTGCACTGTAATCTTCCTTTGTTTCCACGCTCGTATCAACACTTTATACCTCTACGTAGCCGAAGGAACGTTTACTTTTTCATTCCGAAAAACCCCTTTTTCTAAATGAAGTGTCAATATTAGAAATAATTTGAATGATTATTATTTAACGCTGAATATGTAAATAGACCATTTTTTACAATCTTCTCGTTATTTACTAAAGGAAAATAAGATACTGTGGCAGTTGCCATTGTTTGCTGTCAATAAATATTTTAATTCTTTGTCAAGTAATTTATTCTTTTTATTGATGTTTTCCACTTAGAAAACGTTTATTTTTCTAAGTTGATGTTTTGTGAGAAATATTTGTTTTAATGTTTGTTGAGTTCATCACCTATCCATGACATTGTGATTTCTAAATGTTTATATTTATTTAAAACGAATATTCTTGAAAGGTCCAATGGCAGTAGGAACAAAAAGTGATAAGTATTATATGTTGTAGTAAATGATAGTTCATTATTAATACCCTTCATTATTCTGGAAATGAAATCATTGGCCATTCTGAGGGGTTTGTTTCATTTAAAGTTTTGATGCCAGTATAATATATAATAGTAATAAAATAATAATAATAATAATAATAATAATAATAATAATAATAATAATAATAATAATGTCATAGATTATAGTAATTATATTTTGTTAATTGTTTGTTTGTGAATTGTTGAAATTTTTTCTCTTAAGCATTCTAAAATGCTTTGTGAGAGACAGTGATTTGAATAGAAATTAAAAAGGAACATGTTGGAAAATATTTAGATAATCTCTTTTCTACATTTTTACCCAATATTTAATGTTTTGCATGTGTATACTGAATTATTTCTTATTCTTTTGTGTCCAATTAACCAGGCGAGTATGTGGGTTGTTATTATTATTACTATAATTATTATTATTATTATTATTATTATTATTATTATTATTATTACTATCACCTTACATTGGTTTAAATCACCATGTGACTAGTCACAAAGGTGCTACTATATTGTTTATTTGTTCACCCATTGCCTTTTAATAATAGTCAAATAGCAGAGAAGGTAAGAAAAATACTTGGTAACTGTTTTTTAATGCAATTATGGAAACCTTTGAAACCTACGTGTAAGTTTCGTTTTTTTTCGTGGTAATAGGTAATATTTTATTTTTAATGTAGATGGTGTATTAATTAGTTATATCATATTGTGGTGATGTATAAGTGAGTGGGATGCAGCTGTAGCGAGAGTTTAAAGTATAGGGAGACAAAGAAAAATGTGAAGTGACCGGTGAAACAATTTCGTTTGATTATTTAATAAAACTGATCTAGGCTACTGCAAATAGCATTAGCAAAGCTTCGCGCTGAAACGGTGTAGACTGAGATTCAGCGAGTTTGGATTTACCGTTCAATGCTCCTAAATTCCCACGCTTCCCCCACCACTCTGCTCTCCTGTCAAGTTTTATTTACCTCGGCAGACCCTACCTGACGTAGGCACTCATATACCACGAAACATTGAAAATGGATGCGCTAGAATGTTTTTATTTACATACATACATACATACATACAATTTTGTTATATCAATTTATCTATTTATGATTAGTGATCCGAAAGAAGTTACGTATCTGTGCAAAGTTGCCTTCTGTTCCTTGTTTTGGCAGCGAGCCATCCAGCCTCCGCTCAAAACGTGACTTCGAGGATGACGCCTTACATGGTTGTGTTCCGTAGCTAGAATCTATTATTCTAATCGAAAATCAGCAAAGCATGACACAGTTTCTATGCATTCATTGAATAACGTTGTAAATAATACTCGAAGTACTCGTAAGTCGTTTTGTACGTTGTTACTTTTCAATTTTTATTTTGTTCTCCGAAGGTGGAGAACCTTACAAAGAGAACGCTGTCGCACGCGGTGCTCTTTTGTTTCCTAAACGAGTTCTTCTCGTTTATGCTCCCAGTTTTTGATTTAAAAATGGCGACATCGTGACGTAGGACACAGGCATGGTTGAGAGTTCCGCTCGTGCACGCGGAGGACATGCCGGTGCATCTCTGCCGGGAAGCATTCCGATGAGCGAATCCGTGCGTCCGGTGCGGCGGGCGAGGGGCCTGGCGAGGCGAGGCGAGGGCGTCACCTGCCGGGGCGGAGGCGGGAGGCGCATCCGGTGGAACGCGTGTAGGTGGGTGGAGGTGCAGGCGGAGGCGGCGAATCGACGTGACGTGTCCGGGCAGCCGGACAATCTTCGACCATGACGCGGCGAGAGGCCGGGGTCACGGGGGATGGGACGCTTGATTTTAGGATTCAACAAAAGCGGTTTGTGAATGGACCGTGGAAGTAAATAATTTAAATGTACTTTTAATATGCGCCTTGAGCAAATGAGAAATGAGCATGCTTGACAGTCTAAAGATTTTCAGATCGCTTATTTTCGAGTTTTTATTTTGCGCTACTATCCTTGGGTTTTCGTTTAAATTATTCCTATTCAATGGGTCCTGTTCCGTTCAATTATTTTTAACGTTTTGCGGTTTTCCAGTTAATGTTATTTTACGTTTTCTTAAATTCATGTATGAAAGTATTAAGCATTTGTGACAACTTGTACCGTAACCATGTTAGTTTCTCGCGCGTGCTATACTGCATTATTTCGGGTGCATGCTTTGTTCTTTGATTGGTGTCCTAAAATCTGAGAAATTTTATGCCACCCGGAATACAAGTCTCGAATACATGTAGCCTAAAGACTTCGAAGGAGTGTACATTGTTGTGTGGTTTTTGCTGTCCCTACCATATTTCTTTACACACAAGTGTTTTAATGTTGCGAACGTTTGAACGTTTCTTGTATTAGCTTATCCACTATTTATTGTTCACATTGCCATGAGAACATGCCAAGAGGTTAAGTAACTCGTTAAAACGGAAAATATTTCTTCAGTAAAGAATGGGTTGAAGGCAAGATACTGGCCGTATGGCAACATCAGATAAACAGCATAATGCGTCTCTATCGCGCGCTCGGTTTATTCCGTGTCACATAGCTTTACTATTGCTAATGCGTTCTTTCGTGCCACATCACTCAAAAGTGGTTACCATCGCCCTATGTGGTATGCAGGCATCATATGCTTCGTTTCCTGGTTGCGCAGTTGCCGAACAATGAGACACTCAACCACATTCCTGAAAACAAAATTATCGAAGAAGACAAGCTGTAAGCTGTGCTTAGTTGACACATTCATGAAATACTGGCGAGATTAAACTCCATATAAAATATGCCCTCTAAAGATAAATGTATTAATGTGTTTAGCCGACATTTTAATTTAGGTAGGAAGAGAATAGAAAATCATCTTAGCAACAGCTTGACACTGGATTAACTTTTTGTTTGTTGAATTTTTACTTTGTTATGAGTTTTTTTTTGCGAATAAAACGGGAGAGATAAGATTTAAAGTTCTATTCATGACCTTATTTTCCTATATTGTGCCATACTCAATATTATCAATAATGTATTTGCTATGTGGATACTTGCAGTTCGTGACTTCAATTTTGTCTTTGTCTCTGTCAATTAACGATACTCCATTTGCGGACAACTTACGGGAACTTTTTCACAAATTACTTTTCCTTACATACCCTGCGTTGCATTCCTCTCCCAAACTATACCGTTTTTACATTCCCTTGTAATATTATATTTTATTATACAGAAGTTATTAATGCCGACAAAAATATGCCTAAATTTTGAGGGTTGAACTATTCGGTGATCCTTCATACTGAATGTGTATTTAACTTGTCTGAATAGTCTCTTCTGTGGACGCCACTAGCCTATAAACAGTTCAACGGATTTCCTCAAAGATCGGGCCGCACTAGAACAGGTATTTTTTTGCGTATTTGAAACATGTCTTTTTATTTTTGGGAGTACTTTACAGTAAGCACCTTAGGACGCGTTCTAATTTTTCTCAACAAATGGCTCTAAATGTCTCTAAATAATTTATTCGAATAGAGGGAAGGGTACTCAAATATATGGTATAGATCAAATTGTCATTGAACCTTAATTTTCGAAAAATTGCAAATTTCATTTCTTTACCCTTACCGACATTATTGACCCTAGGGATTGTTTTTCATAATAACATTTATTCTCTGAAGTTATATCTTCATGTCGCGTACATTTTTTTTAATGACTAGTTGTCGCAAAAATTTGAATCCAATAGAGACAACTTCTTTCAAAGTGGAATGCAGTAAAGTTATTCTAACAAAAAGTCTAAATTTTTTATGTACTTTTTTCTTCGATTAGAACAGATCAAATGGTATAGGTCCGATTTTCGTGAAAATCTCTGGAGTTTTGAAAATTGCAAAAGTACATTTTTTTCCAACTTCACATACACCATTGTTACAGCTAGGGAATTATTTCTTAATACAATCTATGTAACACACACTAGAACTTTAAATTATCTCCTAGTAGCTTCATGAACAGTATCCCCCACATTTAAAATATCTCTTTCTAATTCACTGGAGCTCGAGTGGTCTGGGGAATAACTAGTCATTTCGTGGGGAGGTTCTGTTTAGGTTGTAGATGTTTAAAAAAAATAAAATCGAAAACAATGGTAGCCAAAACATCAATTTCCGTCAATTATATTAAAATGGGGGCCAAAAATTAACTCTGAATCATGAAAATGAAATTATATTAATATAAACAACTTTTTTCCAAAGATGTTTAATGAAGGTAATACGCGTTGAAATATCATTGCAATACATGCCCAATTTTCAATTTTTATTCTCCCAACATCTCTCCCTATAATGTGAGTTATGTCCATATTTCAATGTTGGGAATTAGGAAAATGGTAGGTCGTTTTACTGGGCGACTTGAAGTGATACGACCATAGCAATATTTTGATATTACAAAATACAGTGATTTACTGCTCCTTTTTACATGGTGGAGCAAGACAAGAACCCACCCTCCAGACTTAAGCCCAGGCCTGGCCAAGGTCCCGCTCACCGGGCCGGCTGGCAGCTGGCAGGCACAGTGCAGGTAGTGGCTGTGCTCGGAAGCACAAGCAGGGGGCACGAAGGCACAAGCCTCTTACCTGAACGCGAATGGTAATTTGTCTATGGAGGAGAATTCCGGTATGGGAGGAGGCAGAAGTCATATAAGCCTGAAATGAATTTCCGTTTGACGTTAAGGGACTAATCTTAAGTTAATTAGTGAATAATAAAAAAAAGATTTAATAAATAAGAATTCCTATAGCGAAATGCGTAATTATTAGAAACCGGATTACATGCAAGCGTTTTGTGTTTTGTTTTTTTTGAAAAATATGGTTTAAAAATGAAAACAAGCTTATTAATTTTGCTACGTAGTAAATGTATTATTAAATACGACTTTCAACGATAGGTTACATGTGAAGGTCTTTACCAGACAGTATTTGCCAAACATTTTGCCACGTATTTTTCAAAATTCTTAACCAAAAAATTACTTATTTTATCTATATACATTTGTTTTTAAATTCAAAATATTTGTTCAACATTACCGATGTTGTTGGGCAATTTTCAAATCATGCTGTTAAACAACGTGACATTTAGATCATTAACAGTTTCTCGTGGAAGATTCTTGTATCCTACTTGAATCGACACACAGGGCCGTTTTAACAGCCTTGGGGGCACTTGGGCTTAGGGTAAGTTGGAGGCCCCTCTTCTTACTTTCATCGACTCCCCCAATTTTGATAAAGTCTTATCAATTTACATTGTATTTAATATTTGTATAAAATATTTTCAAAGCATTTTTTATTGTTATATATATTAGAATAACACTTATAATTACGTTAAAACAGGCTACAAATTAAATTTTAAACAAAGTTTTGTTGAAAAAAATCATCACTGAGTGACATTTTCGAATCAACCAGCAATATTCCATATTACAAATACTATCCAATGATGACTAAACACCACTCCGTTATGCCATTTTTTGCGCGTAGTTTAGTCATACATAACTTTTCTATACAGCCTTTTATTTATGTTTTGAAAAAAATAGTATTAAAAATTTTTTTAAGAACTGTCCAGGGCTCTGAACCCCAATCTGTGCGTTAACACGGCATTGTCAACACATTGTTCTTGTTGCAGGAATTCAATCGACTTCTCGAAGACATTTTTGGTGTCCTAAGAATGGAACAAACTAATACGTCTTACTTCTAAGAAATCTCCCCTTCAATTTATGAGTTTAATTTCTCTAAACAATAGTAATATGCGGATATATGCCAGATTGTTTAAAATATGCAATTATCTTAAAAATATGCAACTTGCATGTAATCCAGTCCCTAGTAATTATGCATAATGTAATTTGTACTGAATCTACTTTTTGTACGTAAATATTTTACTATTTATATTTATACATTATTATTATTAGTATTATTATTAATAGTATTAGTATTAGTATTAATAGTATTAGTATTAGTGTTATTACTATTAATAGTTTTAGTATTATTATTATTAATAGTATAAGTATTATTTGCGTGTCGTCCTAAGAGAATCAGCTTTTGAGTTGTATCCTGCGGTAAGACAAGGTTGTTACGCCGCGAATTGTGAACTATGAGTTGATATGATGATGATGATGATGATGATGATGATGATGATGATGATGATGATGATGATGGGTGAAGGGACTATCACAAAGACGACCATGTCTACGTAGGACTCGAATCTGCAGCCTCCTCGGAGCAGACAATGGCTGCCACAAGTCTGCGCCATGGGACCGACTATAACAGTATTTATTATT